GCAGTGTATAAGAATAATATATAAGAATTCAGTCCGTACCTCACAGGGAACAGATCCGAACCCACGATCCCGGTTTCCGAGCGAGCGAAGGCAGTGCATGCCTTAGACCGCGCGGCTACCGTGACCGGCTAGACAGTCGCTATATATACTGAGTTATTCCGGCTTGTAACTTAAGTTTATATGCTTATGAAGATGTTAGTTAATCCAAGAGTAAGAAGTGAAGCTGCCTCTGTGCCTATGCTCCGTTCCATTAAGACGCGCCTGAGGCGTGAAGGTAAAGCTGAGTGGTGAGCTTCGACCTCTGACAGTTATCCGACGGCACTGACTGCATGGCAGGATGGCAGGGTGGGTGGGCTCAAGGAACCTTCTTGACAAAGTAGGGAAGAGAAATCGAAGCTCAGTAGTCCAGTCTACACTCAGCTACTTACTGACTGACCTGTCCCGATGCATGTTCGTAAGAAGCAGTAAGAAGTGTAAGAGTTTTATAGAATGTTTATACGAGAGATGGACTGACAGGAGAAGGGAGATTACAGAATGAGAAGCTTCGTAATATTTCCAGTGTTGTAAAATGGAAGATTAAATGGGAAAGACATATGACACACATGAGATAAATGAGAAATCCACAGAAAATGTATTCAGAATACATGCAAGGGTTAGGCAATTGAGGAAACCTAAATATAGACGGGAGGATAACAGAGATACTGAGAGAAATTTCGGATTATATTTATCTGGCTCAGGAGTATGTCTATAGCGGGATTTTGTGAAGATACCAATGAAGTTAAATTTGGATAGATGGGAAGATAATATTGAAAAAGTTCTTGAATGGGTAATGTTTGATTGATCCCTACTGTTTACAGCGTGGTATTATGTAAATTCTTCATGGAGTTAAGTATTCGAATTCCGCATTGCGGCAGGCTTTCAGTATTTTTTGGGCATTTTTTTTGTAGACATTCAATCATTGACAGTTAATATACCATCACAATGTAATTAAATGATGAACCACAAAATAGGTTCTTCATTTGCGGGTCGCCATATAAGAACTAATTTGGACAGTGCAGATTCTTTTTGTAAAGATCTGTAAGTGATTTATGCCTGCAATGAGATTATCTCCTACCCTGCCTCCTGTCAAATGGATATCTATGTCTGTCTGTCTGTCTATCTAGACAGTCGGTAGGACTCCTTCGACGGGGTCTCAGCCCGACGCAAGACCGTTGCCTACATAGGACAACACAAAAAGAATAAACGTACACAGACATCCGTGCCTCGAGTGGGATTCAAACCCACGATCCTAGCGTTAAAGTAGCCGAAGATATTTTATGCTTTGGACCGCGCGGCCACTGCGATCGGCATGGATATCAGCAGCTCCTTGAATTCTATTTGTGTATGATACAGCTCCAGTCTTCAATTGCTAGTCGTTCCACAGTTGCATGTCAGTCAGAATTTCTTGTGTCTTGACCTGTAATAACAATATGCTACTTAAGATTATTCCCGAAGAAAGCACCGAGAAAAGTGTAACATTCTAGACCTGGGTTTGAAATGTGCACAGTATAAATGTCGACAGAATTACGGGGTATTTACATCGAAAACATTGAAGTTATTCATTTGTCTTTCTAGGCGAATGCTAGGATAGTACTGTGAAGTGGGCCACGCAGGTCTACAACCAAATCAAGTCTTGTTTACCGTACGTGATCACCTTTCCAATAAGAAGAATGCTCTCTTCTGGGATGTGGTGTTGTGTAAATCTTCACTCTGAAGATGGAAAGGATACGTTCCTCCGAAACGTCGGTTAACGCTAGATCTACACGACGGCACATCCCAGAAGACGGTCTTCTGTATATCCACCGCCGTGAGAACATAAAATCTCGAGTTTAAATAATCCAGTTACTTCCACATTCATATTAATCAGCATTCATAATGATCAGGGCCCGGATTTTGATGACCTGAAAATATTAAAAAAAACCTATAAAATGACCAAAAAATCCAGAAAAATGACCTAAAATATGGCCCAAAAATGTAATATGCAGGGCCTGAATTTTGATGACATGAAAATATAAAAAAAATGACAAAATGACCGAAAAAATCCAGAAAAATGACCTAAAGGAGAAAAGAAAGAACACTTCGCTTCCATGTTATTCACATTTCAGAAAACATATGCAGAAAAATTCCCTAAAATGTCCAAAAATTACAAGAAATACCCTTAAAAGTCCCAAAATTTACCAAAAAATTACCCCCAAAATGAGACAATGACCGTAAACTTAAAAAGGTAAAATAAAATGACAAAAAATTACCTATAAAATTTACATTTCTGTAACCAGCAGCTCATATCCGAGATTTGTATATTTAAGAGCATCGCATAGGATACAAGGAAAAAAGATGACATGTCATCAAAATCCGGGCCCTGATAATGATAAATCCTCAGCTCATTGGACGCTATATAACCGTTTCAGATGTAACAGCGTCGTTAAATTTCCTAAGAATAAATCAGTCATTCAATCTCGAAGCAACTGGAAACAGGATTATCGCTCTGGGGCCCTTCATCAAAGATGCGGATCTCTTGAAATCAGATATTTCACATAACTCAGTTCAGAATGTGAGGATTTGAAGTCAGTACTGTGTGTGTGTAGCTATTAGCCAATGGGTGACCAGACTCGCGCGCCTGCTTTCTCCCACCAGACTAACTCAGTGCGCGGGTCGCATCAGTATCACGGTGACTCTCGCTCGTTCCCTACGTGAATTTTGTCGCGACTTGCGAGAAACATCTTCCGCGAGCTGCCCGTGGTAATCGTGTTGTAGTACTGTTTTTCGTTTATTCAGACAAGACGTTGACAATTATTTTTCTTTGCGGGTGGAATAATGAACATTACTGTAATTATTATGAAACATATGCAATTACAGATTTAAATACTTTAGTGTAGTTTCTCTTTCTCCGAAATCGGTGTAGCGAAGAGAAGGGTGAAGTTCGTGTGTTGTGTTCCATTTTAAGTTACTGGTTTGTACATCTTTAAGGAAACACCTGTATGTAGAGCCTGTAAGTGAATTCATTTTAATTTTCTCCTGATTCTTATAAAATATCTGAAGTATTTAAGGTGCTAATTAAGACGTAAAATTTTATATTTTATGTTTTATGTCACATGTATCCACTTTTGTGGCTTAGAGACTGTTATTCTTGCTTCGCATTAAGGAGATACACGGTTTGAATTTCAGCAGCGATATTTGCCATTTTTTCAGTGATTTCCTGTTCACGCAGTCTAATTTATGATTATCTCCCTACATTTTTTCCAAACTTCATAAGCTTAATAGAAAAGGTATGGAGCACACATCAGACGAGGATATATTTAGCTTCAGAAATTGCATTCTGTTTTCTTTGTATGTCTAATGCAGCTCTTCTCATAAAATTTCAGGCAAAGGATTTAGTAGTTCGTGGAACTTTTTTTTTTTATTTTACTCGTGTCAACATATGGTTAAATACTGCTTCTAGATATTATAACAAAACTGTTCGATCCTGTGACTCGTAATATTAGAATAACTTCGCAGAACCGTTACCGTATAATTAGTGCCTTTATTTCGAATGCACCTCGCGTCAGCTACCGCCAAAACTGTAGCAGAATTTATGATCTATTTGTGTTTACTAAAGTCTTTACAAACCTAATATAACATGGCATACAGCAGAAGTCGTGACACATATACATAATAGATACGAACATAAACCTAACATAATGGAGCCTGCCGTAGAATCTATGATTTATTAATGTTTACAAAATCGATATATGAACGTAACTTAATATAACCTCTCACAGAATTCGAATTTGTTAAAACAACGTACGTGTAAACAAATGTAACTTCAGTAATAGAACTATAGGTTAACTCATTTGGATATTCTCTCTACGTCAAAATATCCCACGGGCAATATATTGTAACTGGTGAAAGTAACGTAACGGTACAAGTAGTTTATAATTTTAAAATTGCTTCTTCTGGGTATTTCTTTTTATTGCTAGTGGGGTGGGACTAAGTCCCTTGTACTGCGGCCACTTCTGCCCTATTGTACCAGCCCCAGATGATATGTGAGGGTGATTGTGGAGCAATTGGTGGAATGAAGATTGGCAGGGGAAACCGAAGTACTCGGAGAAAAGCTGCCCCAGTGCCACTTTGTCCACCACAAATCCCACTTGACCAGACCCCGGGATCGAACCCGGGCCGCCGCCATGGGAAGCCAGCGACTAACCGCTTGAGCTATGGCGCGGCCTTCTTCTGAGTAAGTATAAAAGATACACATCAAAATGTAATTATTACAGAAACGTCGAAGGTGCTAAGCGATTAATTTATGAGATTCATATATTTCCTCGTGAACTGATTCCATGAATATATTTTGTTCCTTGTTTTATTAAAGGATGAACTTTCGTACACATGCCTTAGTCACATGCGAATTCGCAGTGAAGGGAATCTGTTTGAAGTCTATTTTAGTGTACATTTGCTCAGTTTGTATGAGAATTTTAAGAATGTCGCGAAAAACTGAAAAACTGAACGCGTCAGAAGTAGGGACGGCAACAACAGCGATGTGCGCCGCTTATGTTCGGAATTGTATCGCGAGAAGTGCAAACGTGTAGTGTTACTACGGTACTGTGAAGTGCTGAAATATCCAGGTTAACGGATGCGAAGTAATTTAGTGGTTTCTTATGTCTCTTATGCGGAGCAAGTTGCCTCAAGATGTACAGCTTTTGATTTGTATTCTGGAGGTTTCCGATTCGATTATCGGCCATGACACTGATTGCATTGTCTGAGATTCTCGTGGATTTCCTCAGTCCTGCCATGTAAATGATGGACTAGGGCTTAGAAGAGGCTACGATCTCTTCCCGTTTCAAAGTTAATTATAAACCATCTTACGTTATTAAGCTTACAGTTACTGATATTGTTCTTAAATAAACCACAAACGAAATTTGACGTCTTTATCCGGAAGAAATAGACATCAGATCAAATCGGGCATCTTTGCAGGCAGATGTGGGTTCTACAGATATTTATTTCTCGAGAAGTTTAAAATGTCTGAATTTTAATTAGTTTCGCTATTCGTTACAGCTGCGGGCACGTAGTGGCGTAGTTTGTTGAGGCATTATGCTACATGCCGGAAGTTCCCGTGTTCGAGTCCCGATTAGGCGGATTTTTTCAGTGTACCTAATCCTTCTAGTCGCACTATGGCCCTGGGGTTGACGCAGCCTCTAACAGAAATGAGTACCAGGAATCTTCTTGGGGGATAAAGGGCGACCGATACGTAAGGCTGACAACCTCACCGGAATTTGTGAGCCGATTGTCTACAAAATGTGGGAACCTCAACGTCTCACAACTTTGTGGGCCTTCACGGCCCGTTACAGGGATAGCTTTACCTTTTTATTCGGTACAGCTGAACGAATTCGGCGTATTTAAAGGGCAGTATTAACATTTCTATGAAAATAAATATGAGATATTTTAATATTTCCAAACCACAAATATTTTAGAATATTTTGAAATTTTCCGTAAATTCAATTGAAATTTGCCAAGAAAATTCCAAGAAACAGCCTTAAGTTTCTGTGCAAGATGCATGTAAAATGAATGCACAATGAAGAGATCAAATATATTTGTGTATCTATCCTCTTTATCCTTAAGCTACCAGACATACATCCATAGAGATGATGCTGGGCCCTATAGATCTTAATTCGCATGACGAAACTTATCGAATTAAAAGTGGCGCATCGTAATCGAAATTAGTGTACAACAAAGACATGTACAACAGCAAAAACTTCATTTAAAATATTTCACTGTATAATGTATTTTAAAAGAATAAACGGGTATATATAATTGACTCTGCTTTATGATATATATAGTGTCCTTACTTTTTCCACAATCGAACATTATCTGAAATAAATGAATACCAACGCCAGGGAGGTATAAAAATTAGAAAGAAGTTATTTCGAGGATATGTCTACCGCATTTCAGAGCATTTCAAGTTCTGTTAATGTAAAACGACACGTTTCTAAGCACTTAAACACATGCAGGACCTTGTATCAATCAAGCCAATACAGGAAAATCAAATTGCAACAGTCTATACTGGATTGTGGTGGGGGTAAATGTCTTTATGTGACAACAACGGAAATGTCATTTCCAGTAACGGTATTCTTAGATCATAATCACTAACAACTTTGACTGGTAGTAATGAAGCTTGCATGTTATGCGGCAATTGCCCTGGTCTGTCCTTCCAGAGACAATCATTGCTTATTTTTATTTGGTTACCTTTGACTCTCCGAGAATTCGGGCTCATTATCTTCCGAAACGAAGCAGGTAGCAGCGACGTTGATTTGACTGAGATAAAAAAAAACCCAACTCTTTCGTCATCTGTTAGACATAATCCCTATACCGAGAGTTGAACCGGGTACTTTATATAATACTTGAATGGGAATAACTCAGTCGATATACCGACTGGCTACGGGCTGGAGTGTAGGAGTTCAAGACCCCGTAGGGTCAAAAACTTTAATTTCTCAATCTAGTTCAGACAGGCTCTGCGACCCACTAAATCTCCTATCCAGTTGGTAACGGGGAATCTTTACCCGAAGTAAAGCGGCCTTGGCGTGACTCACCTCCTAGTGCCGAAGTCAAGAGAACGTGGGTCTATACATCCACTCCCCCATACGCCTTCATGGCGTAGTGTTTAATTAAGCACAGGGAAAGTTTTACCTTTACCTTTTTTTTTCCTCCTTGGCACCACAGCCCCAGTGGGCCTAGGCCTACCTCCATGAACTTCTCCGTTCACTTTGGGTTTTCTAGATCTTGCACATTCGGTAGGACTCCTTGGGCGAATGATCAGCTCGTCGCAAGGCCTCTACCTGTACACAAACACAGAAAAACGCACACACACAAACTAAACATCCGTGCCCTGAGTGGGATTCGAACCCACGATGCCGGTTTCCAAGCGAGCGAAGACAGTACATGCCTTAGACTGCTCGGCTACAGTGACCGGCAGTGTATAAGAATAATATATAAGAATTCAGTTCGTACCTCACAGGAAACAGATCCGAACCCACGATCCCGGCTTCCGAGCTAGTGAAGACAGTGCATGCCTTAGGCCGCTCGGCTACCGTGACCGGCAGTGTATAAGAATAATATATAATAATTCAGTTCGTACCTCACAGGAAACAGATCCGAACCCACGGTCCCGGCTTCCGAGCGAGCGAAGACAGTACATGCCTTCGACCGCTCAGCTACCGTGACCGGCAGTGTATAAGAATAATATATAAGAATTCAGTTCGTACCTCACAGGAAATCGATTCGAACCCACGATCCCGGCTTCCGAGCGGGCGAAGACCGCTAGCAAGTGACTCATCCGTGCGTGCAAAGAGTGTAGCATTACTTCTGCAGTCCCGCGGGCTCGTGGGACACGATAATTCGCCCGAGTTTCTGGTTCACTTCTTTCTTAACGACAGTTTCTCAGAATGACTCTTCTGCTTGTAGTGATAAATAGACCTACATGTTATCGAATGATTGGCTGGCGGCAGTTAAAGAACTGGAAGCGACCTGCAGCCCATAACATAATGTACATCACTAGTGAAACTCTACGAGCACCACTTACGCAAGTTGCGACGCACGTCTGTCTATTGTTAACGTTACTTAAGGTCGGTACCTCAGAAACGTCTGCTCACTCATTTATTATTATTATTATTATTATTATTATTACTACTATTATTAGAGGGGGTGGGTTTTCCCATTCACCTAGACCAGTTATTGGTCTATTGTGCCTCCCCCTTTAATTTCTACTGTCCCCATACCCTATCGGTACTGGTGCGTGCTATCAGCCCCGTTCAGCCAACGAGGTCGGCCGTCGGTACCTGATATTTCCCCCATCTACCAGAGGCGTTGAAGACTACTTGGGCGGGAAATTCTTGCCTAATTAATTTTGCTCAGAGGTCTCCTAGAGACATGCGGATCTTTTACGTGCCGTAAATCTACGACACGGGACCCACGGCTTGAAGTCCCTGCCGGAGGACTTGTTCCCTGATTTTTTCCACC